CAATTTTAATAATAAATTTAGTATATCATAATAGTTTATTAACTATAATAAAAAAACTATAATAACGTGTTAATGTAGATGTAGTGGTGGGGCGTTAGCGACTCGCTTGGGTTAGTGACTCACTTGTGAACCACGTTATGCAATTGGGGGATGCGTATATGTTTCGTTTCACCATTTGTGTCATGGAGAAAGCACTCTTTTCATGATGCAACTTTTTTTTTCTTCCAGATTCCGATTGGAGCAATCATGCAAATATACAAATGACATCTTAGAAACCAGATCTCAGTATATTTTGAGCGCAAATGGAAAAGGTCGGTTGAGTATCTAGATGGGTGGATGTATGGATAGATAGATGGATAGATAGATGGATAGATAGATGGATAGATAGATGGATAGATAGATGGATAGATAGATGGATAGATAGATGGTATATCTAAAGATATCTACAAAAACACAAAATCAAGAAAGATGCTTGCAAAGTCGTCTCCTTTTTTCCTCCTCTTACAATAAAATAAAATAAAGAGAAACGCCCAGGACATGCAATTTTGGAAGGAGAAAGAAACCCAGGGCAGGAAGAGAGAGCAACCATGTGTATCAAAAGAAGCTGACAATGATGATGATGATGATGGATACTGTAACGTGCGTTGCCAGACGATGCCGAAAGGCGAGGAGACAAAAACGAGAGGGGGGGATATTGGAAGAAGAAGAGGTGCAATAAGAATGCTAACAACGACGATGATGATGTTAACAATGATGATGATAAATAGAAGAAGAAATGAAACAAGAATAGATAAAAAGTAAAGCAAGAAGAGAAAAGCGAGGCAACAAGTGTGTGTGTGTGAAACAACGACAACGACAATAACAATAACAATAACAACAACAACAACAACAACAACTACACACAACGCTTCCTCTTGAAGAAGAAGAAGAAGAAGAAGAGGAAGAACAAGAAGAAAGAAGAGAAAAAAAAATCACCCCCAGTCTCAACCAAGCCACCAACCCAAACCAAGCTCTCCAATCCAATCGAAGAAAGCAAGGAGAAAAAAAAAGATAAGAAGAAAGACGGAAAAAAATAATAGTAATGACATGTCAAACTTGCCCCTCGCCCAACGCTCAAGCAGCAACCGCCTCAGTCTTTTCCTTCAACTTCTCCTTCTCCTTGTTCAACTCCTTCTCCTCCTCCTTCTCTTTCATCTTCTCCTTCTCCAACTCCTCCTCCAACTTCTTCTCCAGCTCCTCTTTGACCAACGGCGGCGGCGGCGTCAGCGGCCCCATGACCTCTTCTACAAACTCGCCTTCACCCAGTCTTCCCCCAAACGTCTCCACCTCTTCCACCTCTTCCTCTTCCTCTTCCTCGGTGATGCCCATAATCTCTCCGCTGCGTCTGCCCTGCGTACTTGTGCCCCGACTCCCCATGCCGCTTTCTTTGCTTCTGCCCCGCCATGCGCCAGACGAGTTGTTACTCACGCCTGTGTTGACGTTGAGCATGGGGCCCTTGAAGATGCTGCGTTTGCGTTTGGCAAAGACAAGCCCGGGCGACTGAGGTGGCATGGACCCGCCGTTGCCAAAGGCAGCACTGGATTCGCTGAGGCCTGCCGAGTATCCTGAGCGGACCACGCGGATGTTGGAGGGGAAAGATGAGGATGTGGGGGTAGCGGGGAGGACTTTGATGCTGTTGTGGGGAGACTTGGATGGTTTGTGCGAATGGCCCGAGGTCGAGACCGCAGGAGAGGCCAGTGAGGCAGAGGATGTTGATGACGCTTTGCTGTGTGAGTGGTGGTGATGTGGCATGCTGCGGATCGACGACACAGACGACGATGTGGATTTGCGGCCTCGCAGACCACCAGACGAACGACGGTATGAAGAACGTGGTGTCAATGGGGCAGGCGATGCTGATAGTCGTCGCACAGAGCCTGAGCCGTGGGTTGAACCGCGGGGCCGAGTCGATATAGGTGGAACCGATGGAGTCTTGGAACTTGTGTATACAGACGACCTATTGGCCGTGCTTTGTCTTCGTCTGCCCTCTGTAGGCGAGCTCTCTGGGAGTTGTGGTGACTGCCCACCGCTACTAGCCTTGGAGTTTGGCGATCGTGCACGCTTAGATGTCTCTTTTATCCAATTTCGAAGTGACAAAAGGTGCCCGATGATGGGCTGTTTCCGACGCTGTTTGGGTACAAAGCCGTTTGGTGAAAGGAGATCAGGATTGCTGTTAACAACTTGCAGCATGCTACCGCGTGATCTCCGCCTGTCCAAGTCTTTGGCAGGAAGCGGTGGTCGTGATGTCGAGTGAGATTTGCGGCCCCGGGGAGTGTCGATTGGTGGGAGGGGTTTGTCGTCGACTGTGAGATTGGGTGAAGCACCTGATTCGGGCAGACGCGGCAACTCTGGAGCACCTTGTCAAAGTTAGCAAAGTATTTCTTTCCCACAACCACCCAACTTACCATGCAAACTGGCGCGGTTCGTAGTTCTGCCGCGGCTTTTTGGTGTCTGGGGCAAATGCAAGCCCTCCTCATCCATTTCCTTGATGGTGGGCGCAAGCTTGTCCAGGCGGCTACTTGCAGCGCTCAGCCGCCTCAGGCTTTTGGCCTCTGCTTCTCTTTCTTTTCGCTTACGCTCTCTCCTTCTAGCTTTCCGTTCTTCTTTTTCGAGTAGCAGGGCCCACCAACCAGCCAACGAATCGCATCGTTGCGCCAACACATTTTCAATTACCATGTCAATGTCGACTCCAGCGGCGCGCATACGGTGCAAAACCTCCTTTTCTAGCTCCGTAGAGAAGGGGGGCGGCTGCTGCAGCTTCAACGTCTCCTGCTGGCGCGGCGCATGTTCGGATAACCAAGGGTTCTGGAGTATGTCTGCTAGGGTAGGCCGTAAAATGGGGCGTTTTGAGAGCAAAGCCTGGCACAGTTCCTTTGCCTGCTGCGGAAAGCTCTCTGGGAATTTTGGCTCCTCTTTGAGGATTTTTGTCTTGGTGACCATTTCGTCGTCGTCGTCAAAGGGCAGCTCGCCCACCAAAAGCGCGTAAAGAATGATGCCCAAACTCCACACGTCTACTTTTTCGCCGGCATACTTTTCGCCCTTGAGCATTTCCGGGGCGCTGTAGCAAATCGTGCCGCACCATGTCTGCAGATAGTTGGACTTGCCCTCGTACTCGCGGGTGAAGCCAAAGTCGACCAGCTTGACATCGCCGTGTTTGTCGAGCAGGATGTTCTCGAGCTTGAGATCGCGGTGGACGCACGACTTGTTGTGGACATAGGTGACGGCGCCGACGAGCTGGGTGAAGATGCGCTGGACCTTTGCGGGCTCGAGGGCGCCCTTGGCTAGGAGGTAGTTGTAGAGTTCATCACCCGGACAGTACTCGAGTACCAACCAGACCAGCTTTTCGGTAACTATAACCTCGTACAGGCGGGCAATGTGGGGGTGGATAAACTGGCGATGGTGGTGGATCTCGCGCGCGAGGTTGGCGTCGTCCTTGTTCGCGCTCTTGAGCACGACCCTGGAGCCATTGCTGAGTTTGTGGGACGCGAGATAGACCTTGCCGAAGCTACCTTTGCCTATCAGCTTGCCGACGGTGTAGTTGCCGACCGTCTTGAGATCCGTGGCGGCGAATTCACTGGGCGGCGGGCGGGTGGTCAGCGGGCGGAAGCGTGTGGAAGGCGCGTGCAGGGCGGAGCAGACTTACTCGAGTAGTTGTTTGTACGAATTGGCAAGCTGCTAGAAATTGGGCGTCAGCGAGCGTGTCGGCGCGGCGGGCTCGTGGATTTGCTTGTTGCGGCGCACAGGCGTGGAGGGAGTGGAGGGAGAGGGAGAGGGAGAGGGCGTGGGCGTGGGCGTGGCTACGACGTACCTTCTTCCTCTGGGCCTGAATCTCAGCCTGGGCTCTGAGATTTGACTGCATGGAATGATGCGCCGCTGCTCCGTGGGGTCGAGTGCGCAACCAGCGTCATCTATGGGTACGAGGGGGGACGGGGGCGAGCGCGCGCCGCGGTACAGGCAGAGACAGAGGCAGGCGAGCGGCGGAGAGGCGAGAGGCGAGCTGCGAGATGCGAGATGCGGTACCCGGGAGCGGCCGTTTGGGCGCGGGTGGAGATGGCGGCAGATGCCAGGGGCCTAGTGTGTTTGGGACGCGGCAGCGATGAGGATGTCAGGCCAGGCGGGCCGGAGATTGGAGAAGGGGATTGATTGTGGACGGATTGGCTGTGAATGCCATCCGTCGGCAGACGCGGAGCTGCACGAGCACGAGTGCCGGCCAGCTTTCTCTCCTGAGCTTGGTCGCTGGCACCCGCTCCGCTGCTGCGACCACGACTATGCCCTCGCAGGTGGCGGGCGTGATTGACGACATCAAGCCGGCCAAGGACATTGTCGACGACATGGTGCGGGAGGCGGTTGAGATGCTCAGGCTGGGGCAGACGTACATTGGCGGGGGGGCGAGCAGCAAGCTGTAGATGGGGGGTGGGCAGGGGGTGGATGTAGTTTTGTTTCGCGTGGCCGGGGGTGACTTGGGGTTGCTTGTTGCGTGTGTGTGTGTGTGTGTGTGTGTTGGCTAGAGAGGCGAGGGTGCGAAACGCATTGCGAGACAGCGGCGTCTGGTGGTGGTGGTGGTGTGCTGGCGGCGAAAACAAAGACACATATATGTCGACACGTTTATGTTTGTGGCTCTGGGGATCTGCAGCCAGGATGGCCCATCAGGAACGGAATGTCCACGTCCTTGCCGTCGTCCATGTCCTTGGCCAGCGGCACAATGCCCGCCTCGGTCAGCTTCTTGATCTCGTCCTCGCGCTGGTGCCACTCCTTGATGTAGTCGTTGTACCTGACCCGCAGTGGCCGCCCGCTGACGACCAGCGTGCGCCCCGTGTCTGTAAAGTCGGCGCTGACCACGTTTTCCTTGTGCATCGTGGAGCACCCGGCCTCGGTCGACGCAACAAAGCGCGTGCCGACCCATACTCCCTGTGCGCCTTGCATCAGACTGCTGGCCAGGCTGCGCCCGTTGTATATGCCTCCTGCCGCCACCACCATGGCTGCCTGGCCCGTCAACGGGCTCTTGTACTTGCGTGCAACGTCCACCACGGCCGGTATCAGGATGCTGTTGGCAATGTCGCCCGTGTGCCCTCCGCCCTCGCCGCCCTGCGCGCACACAATGTCCACGCCCGCGTCCAGCGCCTTCTTCGCATGCTTTGGGTGTCCCACCATGTTCATAATCAGGATGCCTGCTTCATGGAGCCTCTTGATGGTCCGCGCAGGCGGCACCCCCACAGCGCTCACAAACAGCTTCGCTCCGTTCCTGATGGTGACTTCGATAAGCTCGTCGAGCTGGCCGTGCGTGTAGTCATGGTTCGTCTTGCGCGCGCTGCCGCCCACCTGTGGCAGTGCGAGGTCGACTCCAAACGGGAGATTCTGGTCCTTGAGGTTTGACTTGAGCTCGTCGATGATGGACTGCAGTTGTTCGGGCGTGTAGCCCAGACCGCCAATCACTCCGAGGCCGCCAGCATTCGACACGGCAGCCGCAAGAGGCCCGCCCGACGTTCGCGCCATGCCGGCCAGGATGATGGGGTACTGGATCCCCAGCAGCTTCGACAGCGGCGTCTGCAATACTGGCTGTGTCATGTTGGCGCAAGGATATGGCTATGGGGGAGGGGGAGGGGGGGTTGCAAGTAAAGAATGCCCGCTGGCGGTCAGGGTCGATCTATACGAGAAGATGTAGATAGCGAGCACAGCGCTAGAGAAACTGGAGCATGTGCATGCGATGCCATGGCAAGTCTGGGGAAGTGGCTGCTAAATAGCGGCTGTGCCTGTTCTGTGTCTGTGTCGGCGCGACGACAAGGGTCTTGCGGGGAACATGCGCAAAACGGCGAACCGAGGCATGTCTCGCTCCTCGACTCATCCGCCTCCCTTGCCAACGCTTGCCATGGGCCTTCGCCATTGCCGACAATTACCCGGTGCGCCTGGCCCCTCTGACATGTCGCCGCTCGACTCGACTCGACTCCACACCAACGCTACCACTACCACTACACCTACCACCGCCACTACTCTGCATCCCGCCCATCTCCCACATGCGCATTGTTGAAATTACCTCTTCACCTTGCTTGTTGACATTCTCAAATCCATCTGTCCGCCCCTCCGCCTGCATCGGCACCGCGAATTGCATCAACCTCACAGCCCCAATCCTTCTCGGCTACAATGCGTCCGCATGTCATGCACCGTCCTTCTTGATCGTTTCACCCCTCATCACTCACACAACACACTTCTGGCATCACCTTCTCAATCGACTTGGGTCACGCAATTTGCATCGACGGTTGCTGCGCACCACGGCAGAATGTGGAGAAGACGAAACCTGAGTGACTGGCATTGCTATTAGCGTTTGACTCCATTCATTTGCCCATTGACCGGTTTGTGCCCGTTGACTTTACCCTGCCCAGCCGCCTGTGGTTGCGGCGGCGGTGGCGGTACAGGTCCAAAAGGCCGACGTTCAGGTGCCGCCTCAACGCCATCCTCCTCCGTATCGTCATCGTACTCTGCGCTATCTTCGTCCTCATACTCGTACTCGCTCTCCGTCACCTCCTCGTCCTCCTCGTCCTGCTCCTCATGCTCCAATTCGTGCATCGGCACCTGCCCGCGGCCCTGTGCTTGCATTCCGCGGCAGAGAGTCTCTAGCCGAGCAATCTTCTTGCGCTGCTCCTCGGCTTCCCTCGTCTTCTTCGCCAGCTCCTCCTGCATCTTCTGTCGTTCTTCCACCATCTCTCCAATGTTGCGATTGGTAATGTCCTTGTGACGTTGCAGGTTTTGATTTTCCTTTTCCAGCCGCTTTGTCTTCTTAGACATTTCTTCCATCTCTTTGCGGAAAGTAAGGAATAGGTCGTTGGAGTTGTTGAGCGTTTCCTCCACCTGCATCTGGTCAGTATTAACCATGATGATACAGACCAGCTGGGGGCTCAAGGGGGTAGACGTACCTGTTTGAACTTTTCCACATATATGTTGAGCTGCGTGCGCAGCTCCGTTTCCGTCTGCGAAAATGTCGATACTTGGCGAGTCAACTGATGCGACTTTGATGATTCGGCTTCTTGCTGCTTGCGCTGCTGCTCAAGGCGGGCGGAATGATACTGTATCTCCAACTCCTTGAGCCGCAGCATGGAATGATACTGTAGCTCGCGCAGTTCGTACTGGTCTATGAACGACTTGAACTTTTGACGGAACCTAAGAAAATTAGCAAACGTCGCAGCGTCTTGGACAGTACACGTACAATTCATCCAGTTCTTGCTCGGCTTGGTTTTGCAGTTCTGGCCCATTCGCGGCCGCTATGCAATCGTCCACGTCATTGACTAGATGCTCAAGGCGCTCGTGTAATTCTTGCCGGGCAGTCGACTCGCTCGTCTCGAGCTTGTGCAGTTCGTCTTTTAATTTTTTGTTCTCCTTTGCAAAGTCACGCGACAGCTTGTCCAGCTTGTCCTTCATGGTCGTGACCTTGTTCAGTTCTGATCTCTGCGCATCCTTCTCCTTCTGCAGCTGGTCGCCGCGCTTCTTCGCCTTTTGGTGCTCGCGTTCTGTGCGCTTCATGTCGGCCAGCAGTTCGGTGTATCGCTTCTGCACAACCTCGAGGCGAGACAGTGGGCCGTCCATGTTGGAGAGGAGCGAGGAGAGTTCGCGGTTTGCTTTCTTGACTTCGCGTTCTGTCCATGCCATCGTCAGCCAGCGATTCACATGATAAAGCCCGGGTTCCGTGTGATGCAAACATGAATTGCGCCACCTAGAGCATCCTAGAGCATCCCCGCCCCCACCACCAAACGGCAAGACATAGACGCACCGATTTCAAGTTCCTGCTCCTTGTCCCCCGCCTGGTCCAGCTCGAGCTGGGCAATCTTGGCCTGGATCTGCTTTTGCTGCTCCGAGGGGTCGGCGGCCTTCTTGCCCTTGCCCTTCTTCGCGGGCGCGGGCGCGGGCGCTGGGTTGTGCTGAGCGGGAGCCATGTTGGCGGACGCGGCGGACGCGCTGCTGCGGCTGGCTTCGTGGTGCGGTCGGGACTGGGCAGATGTCGGCTGGCGCTGTTGGGCAACGGTTGCCATGAAGCCGTGACTCTTGGATGCAGCGCTTTCGGCCGGTGGATCCCCTCGTGTCGCCTCTGACGGGTCGTCTGCCTATGCAGCCAGACCCATGTATCCTCGGCACCGAGCTGTGTTTTACGCAGCCCCGTGGCGCATCCGTGGGTTGCAGCAGCAGAAACAGCACCGGCCGGGTTGCAATGCGCGCAAGGCGACGAGGGGGCCGTATTTGCGCTGACGTCTCGGGACGGCGTCGGCTGGGTCGAGCAGAGGCCACTGGCACAGCAAAGGGCAGCGGGCGGGAGGCGTGTCAACGGGTACGGGGGCAGCAGTGTGCACGGCGTGCAGCGTCACGCAGGCGTTGGAGGGCGGATTGGGCAACGGCTCGTGGCGTGTGTCGAAGAGCAGGCAGGGAGGGGAGAGCAAGAGGCCGGTGGTTTGGTCGATCGCCCCAGTGCACAAGACGCACACACAGTCCAGCAGTTCTCCACCACGCCCACAGGCTTCAATATCAACCAGGAGCAGAGGGCCAAACGCCTGCCTGGGCCAATCCGATATGTCGTCCGTCCTCGTACGCCGCCATGGCCCGTCCAGGCACACTCCTGTGCTTTAGTGATTTTAAGCCCTAGGCCCGTTGCAGACAAGCGCCCCGTCGGCCAATCGGCGCGACAGGCGTCATTGAGCGCGGCGCCTGCTTCTCACATTTCTGGTCCCGCGTTTGTTGGAGCCAGGCTCCCGTCCACCACCCTCGACCCCCTCCCCCCTCCCCCCACGATGCTGCGCTCCGTCGGCCGCCAATTGCACGCCCCTCGCAATCCCGCCGTGCTCCCCCCGCGCCTGTCCACCGCTGCTCGACGGGGCTATGCCGCCCTCACGGATGTCGCCAACTTTCCGCATGTCGGCGAGCAGCTCCACGGCTTCACCCTCAAGCGCATCAAGCAGGTGCCCGAGCTGGAGCTGACGGCGCTGCACCTCCAGCACGACAAGACGGGCGCCGAGTATCTGCACATTGCCCGCCAGGACACAAACAATGTCTTCTCCATTGGCTTCAAGACCAACCCGCCAGACGCCACCGGTGTGCCACACATCCTGGAGCACACCACGTTGTGTGGCAGTGAAAAGTGAGCCGCCTTTTCATGGACCTTCCGCGAGAGAGAAAAAAAATACTGACTCTTACAGATATCCCATTCGCGATCCCTTCTTCAAGATGCTCCCCCGCTCGCTTTCCAACTTCATGAATGCCTGGACCTTTGCCGACCACACTGGCTATCCCTTCGCCACGACCAATGCGCAAGACTTCAAGAACCTCATGTCCGTATACCTCGATGCGACGCTGCACCCGCTTTTGAAGGAGAATGATTTCACGCAGGAGGGGTGGCGCCTGGGACCCGAGAACCCGCTCGCCAAAGACTCGGACGATCCGGACGCAAAGCGCATTGTGTTCAAGGGTGTTGTGTACAACGAGATGAAGGGGCAGATGTCGGATGCAAGCTACCTGTTTTACACTAGGTTCCAAGAGCATCTCTATCCGGCCATTAACAACTCTGGAGGCGACCCGCAGAAGATCACCGACCTGACCTGGGAGCAGCTGCGCAAGTTCCATGCGGACCACTACCACCCGAGCAACGCCAAGATTCTCACCTATGGCGACATGCCATTGGAAGAGCATCTCAAAGAGGTCGACAGCCGCCTGAGTAGCTTCACCAAGATTGCTGTCGACCAGGAAGTGAAGGCGCCAATCACGCTGGACGGCCCAAAGGAGGTAACCGTCGCTGGCCCCCTGGACCTGCTAGTACCTCAAGACCGACAGTACAAGACCTCTGTGACGTGGCTGATGGGCGACACTGCTGATGCTGTAGAGAACTTTGCTCTCGGCGTGCTCAGCAGCCTGCTCATGAGTGGCTACGGATCACCCTTGTACCGCAACCTCGTTGAATCTGGGCTCGGGGCAGACTTCAGCGCCAACACTGGTTACGATAGTGCAGGAAGGCGAGGCACCTTTTCAATAGGCTTGGATGCAGTCAAGAAAGAAGATGTGCCCAAGGTGCGTCAAGTCATTGGAGAGACCTTACTCGAAGCCCGAAAGAACGGCTTCGACAAGATCAAGGTGGATGGTATTTTGCACCAGCTGGAACTCTCGTTGAAACACAAGACAGCCAGCTTTGGCATGGGCATTCTTCAGCGGCTCAAGCCGGGTTGGTTCAACGGCATTGATCCAATGGACGCTCTTGCGTGGCAAGAAACCGTGGAAGCCTTCCAGAAGAAGTACGCCGAGGGCGATTATCTGGAGGGTTTGATTGAGAAATACCTCCTCAACGACAAGACGTTGACCTTCACCATGCGGCCTTCGGAAACTTTTAGTCAAGAGCTTGCAGACGAAGAAAGCCAGCGACTAGCAGCGAAAATCTCAGAGACCACCAAGAAGTTTTCAAGCGAGCAGGAGGCGCAGAAATATTTGGAGGACCGAGAGCTTCAACTACTGGAAGTACAAGAGAAGGCCAGAAACGAAGATTTGAGCTGCCTGCCTACAGTTCACGTCAAGGACATTCCGCGAGAAAAAGAGAGGAAGCCACTCCGCCATACCGACGTAGACGGCGTCAAAGTACAATGGCGCGAGGCGCCCACAAACGGTCTGACATACTTTCGTGCTGTGCACAAGCTACAGGATCTCCCAGACGAGTTGCGGGAAATGATCCCGCTCTTTACGAGTGCTATTATGCGCCTGGGTACCAAGGACAAGACTATGGAACAGCTCGAGGAACAGATTAAACTCAAGACTGGTGGTATCACTGTCGGTTACCATTCGTCTCAGTCGCCATTGTCACTCGATGCCTACGAAGAGGGTATGGCTTTCTCCGGCTATGCATTCGACCGCAACATCCCCGACATGTACGAGCTTCTTCGGACCATCATACAAGAGACCGACTTTGATGGACCCGAAGCAGAGAAGAAGATTCGGGAGCTACTGCAGAGCTCAGCAAGTGGCGCAATCAGCTCCATCGCCGAGTCTGGTCATTCTTTTGCCATGCGGTTTGCTGAGGCAGGTATAAGTCCAGTGGGGCGCCTAGCAGAGGAAACTGGAGGTCTCACTCAGATCAAGGCCATGACTGCCCTGGCGTCGCAAGAGTCGCTCAGCGATGTCATCCAGAAGCTCAAGGCTATCCAGTCGTTTACGATTGCGAACAGCAACCAGCTCCGCGTTGCACTCAATTGTGGAAGCGAGAGTTCAGCACCTAACCAAGAAGCGCTCAGGCGGTTCTTGAACACGCTACCAAAAAACGTTTCGGTGCCCAAGACGGCACAGCAGAAACAATATCCCCGCAACGCAAAGTCGTTCTTTCCGCTGCCTTACCAAGTTTACTACTCGGCTCGCGCTGTGCCAACAGTGCCTTACACCCACGCTTCTAGCGCACCTCTGGAGATCCTCTCCAAGCTCCTCACCTTCAAGCAACTACATCCCGAGATCCGTGAAAAGGGAGGCGCTTACGGCGGAGGCGCCTACGCCCGTGGCCTCGGTGGTGTCTTTGGCATGTACTCGTACCGCGATCCCAACCCGCAGAATAGTATGAAGATCATGGCCGAAGCCGGACAATGGGCACGTGACCGAGCATGGACAGCTCAAGATCTTGAGGAAGCCAAACTTAGTGTATTCCAGGGCCACGATGCCCCGCAGAGTGTCAGCCGTGAAGGTATGCGAGAATTCCTTTCCGGTGTCACCGACGACATGCTCCAAACCCGACGTGAGCGCCTACTCGACGTCACGGCCGAGCAGGTGCAAGCCGTAGCCGACCAGTTCCTCGTCCAGCGCGCCCAAGAAAGCAGTGTTGCTATCCTCGGCGAGAAGAAGGAATGGGTCAAGGAGAACGATGGCTGGCAGTTCAGGGACTTGGGCATGTCGGAAGCTACCAAAGCAGCAGAAGAGGCAGAGGGCGTTCCGCAGAAGGAAGACGGCGTCCCAGCCGTTGCCAGTTGAGGCAGCCACATTACGGCTTTATGACTGTGTATAGTAAATGTATGATACGCGAAGACGTTAGCATTGCCGGCGTTGGCATTTGGGTAAGTGAATGCATAGCGCGGTTGCATCCCTCTTTCCCTCCTTTCACTCCCTTTTCGCACATCTCTCTCATCACCATCATCCCGCTATCTCACACACACCAACTTTTAAGCAGAAATCTTTCATCAAAACTCGTCAATTTTCTATCAGATATAGGGGTAACACGTCGCGAGAAACCGATTTACGCCACCTCTAATGTGTGCAGCCCTCTCGTTGAGGTGCTAGAGGGGGTATTGTCGGCATTCTTGCGACGTGTTCGAAATGCGAAAATCTTCGAGAACGCACAGACCGCCCTAATGACTAATAGGGAGACTACTAAACGAAACCAAAAACAATTAAAAACACCAAATAAAACAACAAAAATCAAAAATCCTATATC